GATCACTGACTTGAATGTAAAATGTAATTCTATGAAACTCTTGAAAAAAATAGAAGAAAATACTTGAGACCTAGGGCTCTGCAAAGAGTTCTTAGACTTGATGCCAAAAACACAATTCATAAAAAGAAAAATGGCTGAATTGGGCTTCATCAAAATTTTTAAATTTTTGCTCTAGAAAGACCCTGTTAAGAACATGAAAAGACAAATTACAGACAGGGAGAAAATATTGGCAAACCACACATCTGACAAAAAACTAGCATCTAGAATATATTAAGAACTCTCAAAACTTGAAAGTTAAAAAAAAATAAAAAAGGGGCAAAAGTCATGAACAAATTGTTCACTAAAGAGGATGAAGAGATGGTAAATAAACACATAAAAATATGTTCAACATCGTTAGCCACTAGAGAAGTGCAAATTAAAACCACAATGAGTGCTCGCTTCAGCAGCACATATACTAAAATTGGAACGATACAGAGAAGATTAGCATGGCCCCTGCGCAAGGATGACATGCAAATTCGTGAAGGGTTCCATATTTTTTTGGCTGGGCGCGGTGGCTCACACCTGTAATCCTAGCACTCTGGGAGGCTGAGGCGGGTGGATTGCTCAAGGTCAGGAGTTCGAGACCAGCCTGAGCAAGAACAAGACCCCCGTCTCTACTAAAAATAGAAAGAAATTAATCAGACAACTAAAAATATATACAAAAAATTAGCCAGGCATGGTGGTGCATGCCTGTGGTCCCAGCTACTCGGGAGGCTGAGGCAGGAGGATCACTTGAGCCCAGGAGTTTGAGGTTGCTGTGAGCTAGGTTGATGCCACGGCACTCTCTCTAGCCCGGGCAAAAGAGTGAGACTCTGTCTAAAAAAAAAAAAACAAAAAAAAACACAAACACCACATGTACTCACTATTTAATTAGAACTAACTGATGAGCACACATGTGCACAGAGGTAAGTAAAATTCTCAGCGGAAATCAGCCAGGGGGGAGGGAGGAAGAGGAGAGGGGCAAAAACCTATCTAACGGGTACATAAACACTATCTGGGTGACGGATACACCTTTAGCTGGGACTCAAGCATTATAAAAGTGATCCATGTGACCTAAAACATTTGTGCTCCCTTAATATTTTGAAAAGAAATACACCTGAAACAAAAAACAAAAACACCCATAAATGTAATTATGTAATTATAAAATACCATATAATTTTGTAATTATATAACCTGTAATTAATTTATATACAGTCATCCTTCAGTATTTATGGGAAATTGGTTCCAGGACCACCCATGTGACCAAATCCATGCATACTCAAGTCCCACAGTCAGCCCTACGAAACCTGCATATATGAAAAGTTGGCCCTCTACATGCTCGGGTTTTGCATCCTGAAAATACTGCATTTTTGAATTGAGTTTGGTTGGGAAAAAGACACATAAGTGGACCTATACAGTTCAAGCCCATATTGTTTAAGGGTCAATTGTATTTATAATTATACAGTATAACCTATTTTCTCCTTTCTTCTCTTAACTAATTTTAAAAGCAATTATAGAAAATAATATATATAATGTATTAGTA